TGTTGCGAGGGTGAGTCGTGATAGGAGTGTGTGTGACACTTTCCTAATTGCCTCGCAACTTCCTGCCCCTTCCCCCGTTTAAGAAAAGCAACCCTTATCCGCCTGTTTCTCGCGGCGCCGGTAGACTTTGGATCGGCAAAACTTTCGAACAATAACTGGACGTAAAGTAACCTTTGCTTTCCAAGAAATGCGTTACGAGGATAATCATCTCTTTTGCACTTTCAAATTTTATTACGTTCAAAAAATATAGGTAGCTTTATGAACATGTACAGTAAACGCTATTTTTATACAGAACAAATATATAATATATAAGAACAGTAATATATAATATGACAAAAAATTGGATTTTTTTTTTATAACCTTGAATGTTTAATGATATCAATGTGAGATAAAATTATGGCTGTGCCCACCGGATTTACGGCGGAGTCGGATGTCGGTTAAAATGAGATATTGGAATTGGAATTCGCCGTATAATGCGTACACGGATAAGATCGTGCCGTTCTCAGGAACATCGAAATAACGTTTAAAGTAAGAGTGCCAGCTGTAGCAAGTAGCAGGCGTAATAATCTCGTACAAGCACGCACTAGGCTTCCATTAAGCCGCGTCGGCAGCATTCTAAGTACGTAACGAGTAAAGCGCGCGAAGGCCGGAGGACCTGGAAGGTACCGAGATCCACGGTAGGACAATCAGTAGGTGGGAAAAAATTCGTGGAAACAGCCAGAAAGGTAGCCGCATTCTTGGTAGGCAGAGGAGAGGCACGTGGGAATCGCGAGATCGGGCCCTCGTCTCTCTTTTCACGAGGTCCCCCCTCTGCGGGCCCCTTCTCCCCCTTCCCTTTTTCGATCCCATCGGTGTAACGTCGCTCTCCCGACGTGGTTTGTCGTCTTTTTGGATTAGGTAAAGTACGAGCATCTTCCCGGTAAATAGGTAAAAGAGCCGAGATGCGCCGGCCTCTTTGTCTCTTTCTCGCCGGCGAAGTAATATAAGGGGGATGGGACGAGAGAGAGAGAGAGAGAGAGAGAGAGAGAGAGAGAGAGAGATGTACTTCCTC